TGCCATGTCATGACCCACACATACATCATGCTCACACACACATAATAATAATAATAATAATAATAATAATAATAATAATAATAAATTTTCTATTTTTCTCCTTATTTTATTTATATTTTTACTTTATGGTGTTTTGCCTGTGTGTGTTTGTGCACCACGTGTGTGCAGTGCCCTTGGAGGCCAAAAGAAAGCACTGGATACTTTAGCCAGAGGACTGTAGTTACAGGTGGTTGTAAGCTACTTTGTGGGTGCTGGGAATCCAACCCGAGTCCTCTGGGAAAGCAGCCAGTGCTCTTAACCACTGAGCCATCTCTCTGGGGTCTGAGGGACAGCTCAGAGGCTTGCTGCATGAGCATAGAGACTTGTGTGTAGATCCACAGAATCCATATGAAGCCAGTCAAGGGGGCACACATCTGTAATCCCAGCTCTTTTATGGTGAGATGGAGATGGAGAATCTCCATGAAGGCTAGCCTGGTTCATACAGCCATGAACAAGATTCCCTGACTAAGATACCATGGAAATCAAGCAGAGACACCCAAGGTTGCTCTCTGGTCATCATACATGCACACCTCCATTCACACACATGGGCATACACACAAGATTTTCAAAAAGAAACAATGGCTGTATTTATATTCATGCTTACTCAGTAAGTCACTTATATTTATAATACACACCTGTGAACACATCCTTCTTCACTCCACATCCAGAGTTCAGCTCCCTGGTCTACACAGAGAACCTCCTGTCCCTCTTAATAACTGTGTAGATTTCCATTGTATCCATGCACCATGGCAACAAATGTAGTCATCTTTGGATTAATTTGTAAGCTTCGACTCCAGCAATTAGTGCTGTAATGAAGAGCCTAGTGTCTGTATTGTTTGAACATTGCCAGGAGGAGCCTAGCTGTAAGGAGAGCTCTGTGAGTGTCCAGCTTACTGTAAGTATTAAAGTGAGTAAATCACAGCTGCCTGTTTCCTTCATGGGGTACGCTTTGAAACGCCTCTGAGTGGATTTTGTGGTATTTTCACAGACCAAGGCTGAGGCTTGATTCCGATCTTTCCTGCCTTCCACAGTCTCTGTGACCCACACTTATGACAGGTCCCTCCTTTCACAAGGTCAGAGGCGGAGGATTTAGGGATCCAGCTGCTATTACAGGAAAACCTACTTTACAAAGAAGTGACCAGCAGGATGGGGTGTCTGTCACCAACACGCTGAGTGAGCTCGGAACTCCAGGCAGACTCCATTGTTTCCTCTTTACCCTAACTGTTTAGAAAGGCCTGGTGTAATGGAGCTTGCTTCCTGGCGTAGGCTGATAGCCCCTTCTCCAGCCACTGGGGAAGAAAATCACTCTCTAAGGGGATCTATCCCAGAGAACAGAGGGCACTCACTTGCTTCTCAGGAAACCTCCCATTGCCCTAGGCTTAGCAGCTTAGCATTGTCTAAGCTCCTCTGGCCCTAGAACTTCATCAACAGGAGGCTTGAATTACTCTTCCTAGGGGGAATCTTTTGCACTTTTCCGAACCAAACCCCATCATATTTCTTGCTTTAGTTTCTGACTCCCTGAAGGCAATTTCCAACATTTTTCTCCTTTTACTATCAGCCTGTCCCACTGGTACCGAGGCCGCTTCTTTTCTTCTGGGCTTTGTCTGTCAGTAATTATCTGCAGGAGACTCGAGTCCTTCCAAATGAACTTCCCATGTAAACAGCAACCAGAGGAGAGGGGAGAGAGATGCTCCACCGGCACCCAGTGCCAAGGAAAGCTCCATGAGACCTGTCCATCCCTGACCTCCTACCTCACCCACCGCCATCTCGATGGTCAGAGAGTCAGTTCCTGTGTTCCCTCCTCTTTGAAGTCCTCAGCCTGGTCGCCACAGACAGAGCTAGACATGCTCTTCCACGCTGGCGTTCTTCCTTGTGTGCGTGGGTCCACCTGTTGGACCTTGAGCCATGCCCAATACCGCTCTACACTAGATCCACACCTCTTCCATGAGACGCCATTGGCCAACCACACAGGGTGTAGGACCCCGGCTACAAAATGTGATCTAACCAAAGGACTTTAAGATAAGCTTCAAGAACTCCAACTACAGCATCCTGCCTTTTGCCATCCATGCCCAGGGGGATCAGGACTATGTCAAAAGGCAATGTGTATCTTTGTTTCTTTTCCTCCTTTGTTTTAGACAGGGTCTCATTATTTGCCCCTGGCTGATCTGGAACTCACAAAGATCTGCCTGATTCTCCTTCCTGAATGCTGAGATTAAAGATGTGCACCCAAACGCCCAGCTCCAATATACATCTGATGATCTTTTAACACTATAGTATTTAAAGAGAGAGGTGCCCATAATTGAATGGGATTTTAGTTTAGTTTTGTTTTTTTAATGAGAGCTCATGAAACAAGATCTATCTGTAGTCTAAATAAACTCAGAGAACGTAGTCACTGGTATTTGAATGCAGGCATGTACACATCCACATCCACGTTCTCCACAGATAAGCAAGTTCGTAAACTTGCCCAGGCTGAGTGAAAACTAAATGAAGTAGACAGCAGAGATGAGGAGATCAATATAAAGAGATTAAAAAAAAAGGAAATAACCCCAGAATGACTAATTATTGCTGTTGTCTGCTACACTTAAACACTGTTAAGAGGAAAAACATAAACAGCCAGTCAGCAACAGCCAGGTCATCACACATACTAGGGTTGCCAGATTTAACAAATAAAAATACAGAATGGGAGCTAAATTTCGACTTCACACAATGAGTAATATTTTCAGTGTAAGTGAGTGTCAGCCTGAGATGGTGTCATAACCCTTAGAGTTAGGCAGAAGAATCACTCGCACCTAGGAGTTCAAGACCAGCCTGGGCAACACAGCAAGATTCCATTTCAAAAACTACCAGACAAAAAGAAACAAAACATAAAAACGCATCCATCATTTACTAGAAATTCTAATTTAACTAGATACCATCTGTTTTAGTTTGCAACCCCAAACTAAAACACACAGGAGAAATGATTGACAAAACAAACACCTAATCTTATATAATAATTATTTTCAGATGATAGAATTTTAAGTTATTATTTTCTTTTTTATATTTCTTGTGTCCTATAAATTTCATCTCAAGAGCAAATATACCTTTTTAAAATCATATCTTATGAGACTGAGCAGTCTCGGTGGGGAACTGACCCTGAGAGCTAAGTATGGCCAGAAGAAACACATATTGATTAAACCCAGCTGCCTGTGTGGCCGCGCTCTGCAGTCCAGCGGGCGCTCAACCACTGTTAGAGTTCTCCACACTTCAGTGGGTTCTTGACACCATTGTGATAGCAGGTGACTTTCTTCTGTCAGGTGACAGGAAGAGGTGTGCATTTTGTAGCTAGTTCCTTCACGCACACCCCAAGCTACTCACCACTAGAAGGTCCAGGGGAGAATTAATGAGCTTTCATTTGACAGAGGTGGGTGAACAGGAACCCTGACTTAAATAGCAACCAGCCCACACTGGGAGCTCCACAGGGATCAACCCCCCTCCCCAGATGGCCTCCCTCAGCCAGCCTGAGCTCTAGGAGTTCTTCCCCATCATGCTGGGATTAAACTCAGGTCCTCAAGCTTGCAGAGGCTCTTACCCACTGAGCCATTTTCCCCAGTCCCATTAAAAAAAAAAAGATATAAAATGGCTTCTTAAAGAGTCATTGACTGGAATGCACACATTACCTATAGTTTGAGGACACTAAAAAGCAGTCACTTAGGGATTCTGAAGTACTGCACTGAAAATGGTAAACTCCATCTTATCTTTATTCTACCACACACACAGCTGAAATGGAAGGTGGAAACATTCAATTAGATAGCAGTTAAAGTTACATAGGTCACAGTAACTCAACCTTACTGACTTGGACATTTCAAAGGGATGAGCTAGTTTTTAAGACAAGTGGAGTCAAGGAGTGATTACGAGAAAAGAAAGATGTGAAATAGCTCAGAGCAACCACAGCAGAAGAGGGACACAGCCTGGAGAAAGCAACAAGGAGAGGACCCCCAAAGTCTAAGTGATCAAGTCTGAGGAGGGACCCAGAGCAAGCCACGGAGGAAGTTGGGCTTCCTCGTCTTCTCTGATGTGAGTGACAGCAGAAGAAACAGCAAGACAGCAAGACAGAGGGTCACCATCCTTAGGGAGAGCATTTTTCAGAGGTCTTCATTTGCTTCTTTGTCATTGAGCCAAGCTCTTTTGGTGTAGCCCAAGCCAGGCTGGGACTCACCCTAAAGCTCAGGCTGGTCTTTTTTATTCGGGGGGGGGGAGGGAGTGTTTCAAGACAGGGTTTCTCTGTGTAGCTTTTGAAGCCTGTCCTGTAACTCACTTTGGAGACCAGGCTGGCCTCGAACTCACAGAGATTCACCTGCCTCTGCCTCCAGAGTGCTGGGATTAAAGGCGTGCGCCACCACTGCCTGGCCAGCCCAGGCTGGTCTTTAATTGACAATCCTCCTGCTTCAGCCTCCCCCATGCTGGGATTATAGGGTGCAGCACACCCACCTGGCTGCTCAGAGAATTTTTCCCCAACATTTTTATCACTCACTCACACACACACACACACACACACACACACACACACACACACACACACACACACCCCTCATCCTCCACATGAGAACAGGAGCATGATCTCATGTACCAGCACACAGAACAGTTCCTGATATAGTGTGCTCTCAGTGAACGTGCTAACAAATGAATAACATATGATTCCTAAAACATTACTGAAGACATTGTCAATCACACAACTCAGGGGTCCTTATGTCAAGTACCATATAAGAAAGACTGAAATCCAAAGTTTGGGGAAAAAAAAATCTCACTTCCCTAAGCAATGGGCCTGGTTCTTTTCATATGGACAGAATTTTGAACAAGTCCAGATCTTCTTTGTATCTTCGCTTTCCAACAAGCACCCACGAAAACCTGAAAATCACTGTAGCCTCTGGATTAGCTCAATGATAAGTTTTTCTGTGGATGTTTTGTCTTTCCTAATTTCCCAGCCTCTGCTTGATGCCCCTTTATTACTCTGGCGTGCAGTTCATCTCGGGTGCTTTGCACAATGCATTGGATGAACATGTGTGAAAATTATTTGAGAAAAGGACGCCTACCCACAGTGAGGAGCCCATCACAGCTCTGCAGTGTTAGCTTGCCCTCTGCTCCAGACATTTCCAAGAAGTGAAGGTAAGAGCAATGTGTCCTCAAGACCTGAAGGCTGTGGAGACCTAGGATGGAAAGCAACCAGCAGCAGCCACAGGAAGAAAATTTATGCACAGATTGGGAAAGAAATACCTATGACATGTCTTCTGGTCACCACCCCTCAGGGGGGGTTTCTGCTGAGGGAAAGCAGCCTGGGTCATGCAGCCCCTGGTGAGAGGGTCTGAGAGCAAGTTACATGTAGTACTTCCCCCTCCGTGCCACCTCGGTGTCCTGAGGAGAGCACTCTGATGTCCCACATATTACATGAGCTCAATCCTCAGTCTCCAATGGAGAGACGCAAGGATCCACCACCAACAGTATCTGACACCATCCGTGCACGGCCTTACAAAAACCACCTGGTTCCTCCATGTCAGATATGGAGGGATGTCTGTGGATGGGTCCTGATGCACCTTGGTGGGACCACAGGGAAGGGAGATAGAATGTGGGAAGCTACTGCTTCTTTTCACTGACACAAATATCCTGGTGCCCAAGCCAGGAGGAACCTTAGCCTGTTGGTTCCATTCTTGGAAATGCCCTTCTGACTTGTGTGTTATTCTCTATATTGGACATTCTAACATTTGAGCATCCAGACTGCATCCCAGATATAGCCTATGCACTACACTGACCCAGAATCCTCAGATATGATTTCTGCTGTTTTTGTGTGTGGGGTGTGTGTGTGTGTGTGTGTGTGTGTGTGTATGTGTGTGTGTGTGTGTGTGTGTGTGTGTGTGTGTGTATGTGTGTGTGTAAGAAAGAGAGACAGAGAGAGGGAGAGAGACAGAGAGAGACAGAGACAGAGACAGAGAATAACATTCAGAAGTTGGTTCTTTCATCATGTCAGTCCTGAGAACTGACTCTGGTTGTCAGGTTTGGTAACAGGTCCCTTTAATTCTGAATCATCTAGCAAGCCCTGTGGTTTCTATTTTATGAATGTCATAAACAATGTAGTTTATTCATCATTATGGTATCATCTTTCTCTGTGGTGTGGAGAGAAGATTGACACAGTATCTGACTGGGACTCTCACCTATGCGGTCTTATTATACCCACCCCAGAGTCACCTCCCTTCCAGTGTGTTCTCCTTCCTTCCCTCCCCGTGGGATTCCTTGCACACTCAGGGTTTCTCCAGAGAACTGGGATAGCAAACCCCTTGGCACCCAGGTGCCATGCCTTAATCACACTGATATTTCAGAGAAGCTATTAAAATGCCTTACTCCAGAGCAGGACACAGTGCAAGTCTTGATCCAAGGTGTACTTTGAAATCAGGCTGTGTATCATGACCAGTATGTAAACAAAATCGAACGGGAAGAGTAGAGTACTACAGAAACACCAGAGGATCAAGCAAGGAGCAGATAAAAGTTTACTTCTTACAGCCGGGCGGTGGTGGCGCACACCTTTAATCCCAGCACTCAGGAGGCAGAGCCAGGCAGATCTCTGTGAGTTCGAGGCCAGCCTGGTCTCCAAAGCAAGTTCCAGGAAAGACGCAAAGCTACACAGAGAAACCCTGTCTTTAAACCAAAAAAAAAAAAAAAAAAAGTTTACTTCTTAAAAAAAAATGGTTACAGACTTGGGTAAACTGGCTCAGTATCTAAAGCAAAGAGGAAAAGACAGTGGCATCCAGGCTCTGGGGCCAGGATGTGGGATGAGGGATGTGGGACTGCCACAGCAGCCTGGGATTACAGGAAGCATGCCTCACTTGGGAAAGCCAGCACTCACAAAAGATGCCAGACTTTTCAAATTTATAAACGTCTGCAAGTGTCCAACGGTGTCTACTGCCGGTCCAGGGAAAGAGAAAAGAAAAAAAAACTGGTTTTGCTTCAAGTCCATCAGTCTTGCTGCAGTCCATCCAGGGATACACAGCTGAACAAGGCACAAGGAGATGTGATAAATGCTGGAACAGAGGTGCAGGGCTGGTGAGATGGCTCAAGAGGGTAAAGGCGCTTGCTGCCAACCCTGACCATCTGAGATAGAGCCCTAGGGTCCATTTGTTGGAAGACAAGAACCAATAACCACAAGTTGGCCTCTGATCTCCACCTGTGGGTCATGGCATGTGTGCCTATCCATCCATCCACACAAATAAATAAACAGAATAGTAGTGAAGTGAATTTATGCTAATGCGGGAGAAGAGAAAATGAAGCTAATTCTGTAAAAGAGTTTGTACATGCCTATAACTGCCATTAGCAAGGACGATGTGAAGCAAATATATTGTCTTCCAGTTCTGAAGGTCTGAAGTCTAGGGCTAAGTTGTGGAAAGGGTCATGCTACCTCCAACAGTGCTGGGTGAGGATTAGCTCTCAGCCATTCTCCTAACTTCCAGCAGGCCTTGGTTTGCGGCCACATGACCGCAATCTCTCTGTGGCCCTCCCCAGCCTCTGTAGCTGAATGTAGCTGTAGCTGGAGAGCTTCTCTCCAGGTCCCATCAAGCCCCGCAGTCCCACAACCCACTTATAAAATAATCACTCAGACGCTTATATTACTTATAAACTGTATGGTCATGGCAGGCTTCTTGTTATCTACTTCTTCTATCTTGAATTAACCCATTTCTATTAATCTGTAAGTTGCCACGTGGCTCGTGGCTTACTGGTACCTTACATCTTGCTTGTCATGGCGGTGGCTGACAGGTCTCTCCCCCTCAGCCTTCCACTTCCCAGAATTCTCCTCTCTCCTTGTCCCACCTATACTTCCTGCCTGGTGACTTTCCAATCAGTGTTTTATTTATATAGAGCGATATCCACAGCATGTAGCCACCCCTTACAAGGACAGCAATCATAGAAAAGGGACCACTTTACTCACATGGCTTTATCTTAACCAATTATAGCTGCAACAAGGCCTGATTGTAGCCGCCCTGTCAAGAGTGAAGACATTATAGAATCTAAAAGCTTGGACCCCTCCCTTTGCTGTGAGACTACTGAAACAGTGGGCCCCTGGGAATTGAAATTTCCTTAGGTTCTCCTACTGGAGAGAGAGAAAAGTTGACTCCCGATGCCAGAGGAGGACCTTGCTCCTCAGGAAAAGATTTCACGCAATTCTCACAACTTATCAGATCACCTTTCAAGACAGACTAGAACCCAGCAACGATGGATCAGAGACGGATGGGGCCACACTTTAATAGGGACTGTGCTGCTGTGTGTTCTTCCTGCCCTCTGCTGAAATGTTTTGCTGAGCCCCCAAAATGGTCTCAGGTGTCGCTTCTTTATCTGCTCCTCTTCCTGCTGTGGCCACCACTGGGTACTTCTTTCTCTGCTTTTCACATTCCTTGCCTCTTAATTGGTCTGTGGAGGATGGGAAGCCAAGTCCGGCTTGTTAGGGTTGCCAGGGACCAGGCTTTGACTCTCAAATCTCTGGTAAAAATGTTGGCTAAGCCATGAGAAAAGACACACTGAAGTGTCAGTCATTCGCAGCAAATTGGCTCCGGGTGGGAAGGAGGGCTGAGCTTCCCACACAGTCCCTAGGACCACTCTAGTCCAAGGACTTTACCTTTCCAGTTCAGTGGGCATCCGCAGCTTTCTGCTTGTGTTTGGTAAAGCACAGAAAAGAGGGCATGAACTCCTTGCCCTGAAGTCTGGCCCTCGGGAAGCTCTCCACTTAGCAAGGAACCACCATGGGCTTCCCCTTCCTTCTTAGTGCAGAGGCAGCTTTGAGCTATTCGAGTGCTTGTGCAACCAGGAAAAATATTGTCTGCACAGGCTTGCCGTCCGTAGGAAGAATTCTGCTTGACTGGCCTTTCTCACACATGTGATGATTTCATCTAACACCACCCACTAGATTAGTCGTTGTTTTCACATGTCATTCTGCATATGAAATGGAGCTAGCAAAGCACCCGTCCTAGAGCTCCTGCAAAGAACTGACTGCCAAACCACCTCTGCCCGCTTCATGTTTGCATTGATTGTTTTTTAACTTATTGCGTGCTAGCATCTCTGTTCTTGGCACGGCTACTTTAAAATGTATAGGAATATGAAGGTTTGGGGGACAATATTACTACATATTACTATATTAATGTGAAATCCACTCTCTGATTTGCCTGTCACTGGGCTCTCTCTCCCTCACCCGCCTCTCTCCTCCATTTTTTTTTTCTCTCTTTGAAAAAGCAGTTAGCTGAAATATAGGAATTCAAAAGTTGACTGTAGACACTGGAGTGATGGTTCTGTATATGAGCAGGTACTGCTCATCCAGAGGACCAGAGTTCAGCTCCCTGTACCTATATCAGGCGGCTCATAATCCCTACTAACATACAGAAGCTGAGCCACCTTATTCTGTATATGATAGGCAATAGCCTGTTATTAAAGCCTTGCCCTCATGCATTTCAAGACTTATTAATTATTTACAGGATAATTAATTAATTAAAATATGCTAATGTTAAGTGTCCAGAAGAGTTCTAAGCAGGCTCTTGCTTGGTCAATTTCAAGTATAAACTTAAGAGAGAAAAAAGTAAAGGACTGACCTGTACATAGAGACATTCTTACACAGTTTCAGAGCTTTGCTCCACAGGCAACAAATATATATTTTTTTTCCATGTTGTGATGGAAGAATTTCTCAACTGTAATGACAAGGGTGTCACCCAATGCCAAGTCATTGGTAGCAGATCATGCACCGTGTTATAAATAATGTCAAGAGATTAGGTATTTGCTCATCCAGTTTGGCAGTATGTACATTACAAACTTATCAAGCTAGAGCAAACATCATTCATAAAAAGGTAGTGATAAGTTGAGAGTCTTTGTGTTGGGTCATTAGATACTTATATTTGTAACAGAAAATGCTCTTGTAATGTACGCAATAGAGTGCTATATATGTAATCCTCTGACATAATATGATAAAATGTTATTAGAAATTTTGTTCATATTTTAATGACTTTTTAGGTATGAATTTAATGATCATTCAATGATTGTATCAATAAATACCAACTGTACTTTGTCTGGAGTATAGATATAAGTCTATGAGAAAAGTAAATCTTAAAAGACTTATGGCCGGGCGGTGGTGGCACACGCCTTTAATCCCAGCACTCGGGAGGCAGAGGCAGGCGGATCTCTGTGAGTTCGAGGCCAGCCTGGTCTACAAAGTGAGTTCCAGGAGAGGCGCAAAGCTACACAGAGAAACCCTGTCTCGAAAAACCAAAAAAAAAAAAAAAAAAAAAGACTTATATGTAATTAGGTTAAACATAAACAAAACACTGTCTATCTATAAAATCTTTTTAGTAAAGTTTTTAAAATGCTTTGTGTCCAAAACAATCAGTGTTTCTTAGATTACTGATCTACTTTTGGTAAAATTTTAAAAGGGCTAACATGAAAAGATAAAAATTTTATGTTTTTTTATCCTAGTTTTTCCAAGTTTTCTTTTAAAAAGAATCAGACCTCATTTAAATTTCTGTTTAGGCTGAAATGATTTTAAAGATTTCCTAGCCTAGTTAAATGGGGCAATCATACACACAGCATACTTGTGCACTAGGGAATATCTGTTTATGGTAATGATGTTATTTTTATAGAAATTATAAAAGATATTTCAAAATAACTATCTGAAGGATTTCACAAGGTCAAATTTTAATGCCCCGGGGCCGGGAGACAGCTCAGTGGGAAAAGTGCTTCCTGAGCATGCATGACAACTGGAATCCCCAGCACCTACCTCAAACTGGGGGCAGACAGGCGGATCCCAGAAGACACTGGCTGGCAAGCCGAGCCAAAACAGCTTAGTGGGAGACCCTGCCTTAAGGCGGTAATGTAGAGAGCAATAGAGAAGGCTATTCATCACCCTGCTCTAGGTGAGTACCCACACACTCAATATTCACATATCTCTGTGCACATACTACACATGCAAACACACTCACACACACACACACACACACACATACACACACACACACACACACACACAATTTAATACACTGCTAGAACTTAATTCTCTGTGTCTAAAGTAAAAAAAAAAAAGCACAAGTTAAATGCATATCCCATCTGCATTACATAAGCCTTCTAAGATGCAATACTTAGGAAAATGCCTGAGTTACTTTCTTCTTGCAGTGATAAGACACCATGACCAAGGCTACTTTTTTGGTTACAGTTTCAGAGGGTTAGAGTCCATGGCCATTATGTCAGGGGACACGGCAGCAGGCTGACAGGCATGTGCTGGATCAGTAGCTGTGAGTTTACATTCTCATACACAATTGGGGGGGAGGCAGGGTGAGAGAATTAACTGGGAATGGCATGGGTTTGTGAACTTCAAAGCCCACCCTAATAGTGACACACTTCCTCCAAAAAAGGCCACATCTTCTAATCCTTCCCAAACAGTTCCACCAGCTGGAGACAAAGCTTTCCAATATATTAGCCTATAGGGACCTTTCTCATTCAAACCAACTCAGAGAACATTTTCCCCAACCAGTGTCTTCCAAACTAGAATTGTTAGTGGAACTGACTTTTCCCAGGGAAGTTCCTAATTGTGTCATGAACTAGCCCTTTAGGCAATGAGAACTAGATAAGCCCTAACATTGGGCATGTTTAATAATTAAAAGGCAATGGCATCGGTCATAAAGTACATCTATAAGCAAGTACTGGATTTTTCAGACTTTCTCTTTTAGTTTTCCTTTTAAGATTTATTTATATTTTTTTTATGTGTATGTGTGCATGGATGTGTAAGTGAATGTCACCTGTGTGCTTATGGAGGCCAGAGAAGTCACTTGAGTCCTTCGAGCTGGAATTCCAGATGGTTGTAAATTACCCGATCTGGGATATCTGCTTGGGTCCTCTGGAAGAGCAGCACTTGTTCTTAACCTCTGTACCATCTCTCCAGCCCCACAAACTAGTTTTCTTTAAGTATTTTTTTATTGGCTGTGTTTTATATTCATCTTATGTAACTCTGTGGTCATTGCTGGTTAATATTCTGCAGAAGCAGTTTCTAACAAAGGACCCTGGACAAATTATCCCCCTAAGATATTAGGTTATCACCCACAGGACAGACAGCATAAAATTCAAGAGTAGGCTTGGCTTAAGAGCCATCCCTTTTATACCACTTAGTTGCTTAAAATTTACTCATAAAGGGTTTTATTGGCACTAACTCCTTGGCCTCTGTTACTTGTCCCTCATGATATGAGACCGTGTCAGCCCATCTGGGTCAGATCTTGTCCCAGTAATGAAGGAAAGTTGATATCGAACCAGATGCTAATCATCAATGTCTTCAAAGAAAATTGCTCAGAAGCAAGAAAGGGAGTTATCAACTCTGAATGAAGTCACACTGGACAGGGGGTGCCTGCCTTTCATTGAGAGGCTGAAGCAGGGGGGTTTTGAGTTTGAGGACAGCCAGGGTTTCATAGGAAGAACCTGTCTCAAAACAGCAACAGGGATGGAATCACTTACAGAAGCCTTTCCAAAAGCAGCTCAAGCCAAGAAGTAACAGCTTTGTGGCGCTTATGCATGGTCACATGGTCACATGTGCTCTGACTTTGGCCCCTCCAATGCTACTTGTGATATTTCTTTCAGTAATAAAAGTATTTCAGATATTTTCACAAACCCAGCATATCACCAGCATATCTCTCAGAAACTGAGGTCTGAAAACAAAGAAGAGAAGTGTCCTGACAGCAGAGGAGACATTTTAGAGAGACTGTGCTGTCAGATTGCTAAAACAATGGTTCCCAAAGCGTTAAAAAATCTTGATACCACCTTACACCCATCAGAATGGCTAAGATCAAAAACACTGAAGACAGCTTATGCTGGAGAGGATGTGGAGCAAGGGAACTCTCCTCCACTGTTGGTGGGAATGCAAGCTTGAACAGCCACTTTGGAAATCAATATGGCACTTTCTTAGAAAATTAGGAATCAATCTCCCCCAAGACTCAGCTATACCTCTCTTGGGCATATTCCTAAGGAATGCTCAATCACACCACAAGGGCACATGCTTAGCTATGTTCATATCAGCATTGTTTGTAATAGCCAGAACCTGGAAACAACCTAGATGCCCTTCAACTGAAGAATGGATAAAGAAAATGTGGTACATATACACAATGGAGTACTACTCAGCAGAGAAAAACAATGACATCATTAGGTTTGCAGGCAAATGGATGGAACTAGAAAAAATCATCCTGAGTGAGGTAACCCAGACTCAGAAAGACAAACATGGTATGTACTCACTCACAGGTGGATACTAGATGTAAAACAAAGGATGACTAGACTGCTACTCACAACTCCAGGGAGGCTACCTAGTAAAGAGAACCCTAAGAAAGACACAGGGATCGCCCAACGACAGAGAAATACATGAGATCTACAAACCAGACGTGAGGGGGGGTGGTAATGGAGGGCAAGGGTAGGGGGAAAGAGAGCTTAGGGGAGGGGGAGATCCCAGCTGGGTCAAGAACAGAGAGAGAGAACAAGGAAAGAGATACCATGATAAATGAAGACCCCATGGGAATAGGAAGAAGCAAAGTGCTAGAGAGGTCCCCAGAAATCCACAAAGATACCTCCACAATAGACTACTGACAATGGTTGAGAGAAAGCCCAAACTGACCTACTCTGGTAATCGGATGGCCGAACACCCTTACTGTCATGATAGAACTCTCATCCAGTGACTGATGGAAGTGGCCCCAGGCTTGGGGATCTGGAGCTCTGAGAGTCCAATTGGCGAGAAAGAGGAGGGATTCTGTGAGTGAGAGATGTTGAGACCATGACTGGAAAAAGCACAGGAACAAATAGCCAAACTAGTGGAAACACATGAACTATGAACCAATAGCTGAGGAGCCCCCAACTGGATCAGGCCCTCTGGATAAGTGAGACAGTCAATTAACTTGAACTGTTTGGGAGGCCCCCAGGCAGTGGGACCGGGACCTGTCCTTTGGTGCATGGGCTGGCTTTTTGGAGCCTGGGGCCTATGCTGGGACACTTTGCTCAGCCTTGGTGAAGGGAGGAGGGGACTGGACCTGCCTCAACTGAATCTACCAGGCTGAGCTGAATCTCCAGGGGAGACCTTGCCCTGGAGGAAATGGGAATGGGGGGTGGATTGAAGGGAGGGGGGGAGGAGGAGGGAGGACAGGGGAATCCGTGGCTGATACGTAAAATTAAATTGAATTATAAAATTTTTAAAAAAGTGAAAAAAAATCTCAAGCCTAGGAAACTAGATCAGTCAATAACGCACTTGCCACACAAGCATGGGGACCTGAGTTCAGTTCCCACCACCCACATAAAAAGTGCATTTACAATCCCAGTGCCTGGGAGGTGGGTCCTGGGGGTTTGCTGACCAGCCAGCCCAGCCTAATCGGTGAGCTCCAGATCCCAGAGAGAAATGCTGTCCCCAAATCTAAGGTAGATGCCTCATGAGCAATAATATCTGAAGTTGACCTCTAACCTATACAGAGAGACAGAGAGAGAGAGAGAGAGAGAGAGAGAGAGAGAGAGAGAGAGAGGAGAGAATTAAAATTCCCCTAGGGATCTCACACTTGCAGCATTGAAAGACTGAAACTCTGCTTCCAGAGAAGAAACTTGCCTCCAAGGAAGAGAGAACACACGGTGCTAACAACTTTTCAAGACCACCCTGCAGAACAGAGCAGAGGCAAGCCCGTGACGGGTCAGTATTGAGGGGAGCACACCCTGCCCAGGGCTGCTTTCCTGTACATCCTGCTTGTCCGGTATTAAGCCTAAACTCATGTCAGTGTCGTGAAGATGAACACTTTTTCTTCCTCTTGTCACTGCAGCCAGATTGATTGCCTCTCCTTCCTGCTCCTTTCACTAGCCCTGTCTCTTTAATTGGTGTGCTGGGACAGACTGTTCATTATGCCTTCCAGAGCCCGGGCTTGGACACGAAAACTCTGGAAACAACTGGACTCCTTTACTTGTCCCTCTTCCCGATGTGGCCACACTGAACACATACTCTTTCTCTGCCTTTCACGACTGCTTTTCTCTTTAACTGGAATTTATTGGGACTTCCCAATCCTGGACC